CTCCGCCCCCCCCCCCCCCCCCCCCCCCCCCCCAAAAAAACAAAAAATAAACCTCCTAACAGTGAAATCTGTTGAATTGGGGTTTTCTGTGAAGTCTGTGGAAAGGCTCAGTCACCTAATGGAAGCTTTCACAAAGATCAGTTTGATGGCTGAATTTAGCAGTGGCAAAATTCCATAATATACTATTTTTCTATTAAAGGTATGCCTGCTAAACTGTAAGACTTCTTTGCATGGTGCTGAACCTCATGATTTTGTTCCACATGAAATTATCAGGTCACTTTTATATATATTGCAAATAAAAAGGTTCACTGAGGACAGGTGTAGAAAAATGATTGCAGTTTTAATAAAGTTCGAATAGCTTATTGGTGCTAATCATTCAGGACAAAGATGAAAACAAGAAGATTATGGAGTTCTTTTTCTCTGTTTTTCAGTGTCCAGGGATTTGCCATCCCTCCTTGATTCACCAAAGATAGCTTTACATGCAATATTTCTTCTCCTGCTTGCAAGAGATGGTTGATTGTCATTTCATTTTTCATTGAATCCCCTGCACTTCTAGTGTTTCAGTTGCCTTACATGAACAACTTTGTTGTCACCTCTTGAATGCTTTTCCCTGGCATACTCCAACAGCAGTCTCCCTTAATCAGACCTTAAATCCAGCTACTTCCTTTGTGTTAATAGTTATTTCTCCTTTAGCTTACCCTCTCCTTTTTCCCTCATCAACACTTCAAAGAACTGCAGTTCATTTCTCTCCACCATCATTGACTGAGCTGCACTAATCAAAACCAAGCAAAAATCTCCCTGATCCAGACATACCATGGCCTGAAATAAAGGCTGTTGTACTTAGCAAAAAATGGAGCGTTTGGGTTTTATACCATTATCTATAGTGGAAGCTGCAGATCATCATTTAGAAAAGTGCCTTTGAAAGGCCAAAGACACATTTTTCTCATTGGTGCCGAAGATGTGGGGATATGCAGAGACATATTTGTAAAATTGACTGCCTTTTTGTAAAGCCTGCAATCTGTTAATTTAGCTTCTAGTAACCTAGAACTGCAATGCATGTACATTCAGAGAAAACCCATTAACACTATAAAAGCTCTGGTGTGATATTAGCTTTAATACAGCTTGGGACAGAGTACTGTTTAATTGTGGAGGTTGCTGTTAAGTAAAAAGCAAGCTGTGACATAAAACGCAGGTAAGGTTCTGGAAAGCAGGGGACTGTAAACAGTCTAAACATGGAACTGAGGACAGGGAACTGGAAAAGAAGAGTAGAGTCTGTGAATGGAAAGACAAGAAGATTGGAACTGGCAGGAGGAAATAGACGGGCAGAGGACAGCTCGGAAGGGATGAAGCAGAAAAGATCAGCTTTATCATGACAGAGCTTCCAGGGTTGTGTGAATCCTAAGGGTCTTGGTGTCTCATTGTTCATCATCTGTCAGAAGTATCCAGGTCATTCTTTCAGAGTTTCATACTCTTGTAGCCCTGGTCCACACAGGGATCACAGACAACTTTTGCAGGTACTTCTGCACTAGCTCAAGTGTCAGAGATGAGAGCATTGAATCTGAAGGTTCCAACCTTGCAGGTGTGGGTATCAAAATAAAATTTACTGGGTGTTTTGTGGAGGAGGGTGCTGTTACAAAAATTTCACATTCCTACCAAATACACTCATTATAAACTCTAAAAAACCCAGAATTATATTTTTGAGTATGTGGACAGTCTACGGTGATTCTGTCGGGCATGAATATTTCAAGATAGCCTTGTCTCTTACAGTCCTCCTTCTGTAGTAATGCTGCATTCAGACTACAGGAAAGTGCAGTGCAGTGCAGTACCCCTGCTGCCTTTGTTGTAGGAGTCAGAAGGTATGTAGTGAGGGGTGTAAGAAGAGAAGAAATGCTTGCTGTAGTTAACTGAATGGTATATGCTAAACCTCTGCAAAACTGAGTGTATCTTAAGGCACTTAAGGTATGCTTTTCATGCATCATCACTGGTATGTTTCTTATTTTTCGAATCGCTTATTTAAGGTGTTTGTATAAGACTTGCAGATGTGCTAACCATCTACAACCACAAATAAACGTAAAATGCAGCTGATACCTCCATCCTTCCCCTTCATTTCACATGAATGCAAGGCTGTGAAAATACCTAGTCAATGTTTGTAGAATACTCAGACGGTATAATGATGAGTGCTGTAGCATAGACTTTGACGAAAGAGATAGTTCTGTACTGGGGCTTACGCAGTGGGCAGCAAATAAGAAATGGAGAGAAAACAAAAAAAAATGTACTAGTGAAGTATCATTCTTGGTCATTATTCAAGGTACAGCAAATTTGGCTTTAGATCTCTTTGTTCTCTAGAACGAAAATGCCATGGCTACGTGACACAAAATATTATCTGTATAATATTCTGCCGGTTCAAATTTCTCTAAAAATAAAATAAAACTTAGTAGGTCAACTAACTAGCTTATTGTACCAGTAAGGGTAGTTAGATTAGATACAGTCCGTCATGTTTTAGATGATATAGGTGCACAAACCCAGGCGAAATTCTAGATTGTTCTCTGGCTAATGTGACAGTATGCAAACATTGTGTCTGTGTGCCAGAGCGCAGTAGGGCAGCCGCTCCCTAAGGGATGGGGAGCCGTATGTGGTAACACAGTGTCAGGCAAAGGCCTTGCTGGCTGGGGTTAGTCCCACAGTACCTGAGCACAGCGAGCAGGGCAGGCTGGGGTGTAGTAGCCAGGTTCAACCAAGTCTGGTCTTTGTGCTAAAATAATTCTCTTTATTTGCTTCTTTCCCTTTTTGGCTTGCTTGAGTGGAGGAATAATTCTTTAACATTGTACAGATAATATATGATATGCTGTGAGTGATAATGAAGTATGCGATAAAGTAATTGTGACCAGCCACATAAAATCCAAGCTGAATTTTTCTTGCAATCTTTTGGAAGAAAACTAGAATAAAGGTAAATGATTTAAAAAGAAAAGGAAAAAAAAGTGATGAGTTAAAACCAATTTTAAGTATAAACTTCCTAGAAAACCAAACAAGTATAGATATCTTTCATTTCCTTTTGTCTTTCCAGTTCTACCAGAATTAAAGCTGCTCTGTGGGGCTGATTTTCTACAGACATTTAAGACACCCAATCTCTGGAAGGAAGAACACATCAAAGAAATAGTGGAAAAGTTTGGTTTGGTCTGTATTAGCCGTGCTGGCTCTGATCCTGCTCAGTATATCAATGAATCAGACCTTTTAACTAAATTTCAGCACAATATCTTTCTGGTGAAAGAATGGATTCAGAATGAAATCAGTGCAACACAGATACGCTATGCCTTGTGCAGGGGATTAAGTGTAAAATATCTCGTACCAGATTCTGTTATATCCTACATTGCCCACCATAATATCTACACCGAAGAGAGTGAGCGGAAGAATGAAGGTGACTTGCTTCAGCCTCTTAAGTTGCATAACACAACAGTAAACCCACTAAATGACTGATGTCTGTAGCGTGTAAAGTGGACAGGCCTGGCGTTTTTTCATGTAAAGTTCTAGAGAAAGTTGTTTGTTGTCGATGAGGGGAAAGTACATCAGTCCAAAATTTCTTGAATTCATGTGGTGTTTTAAATTCTGTTTTTTGTGTGTGGTAGTGCTTAAGCAAATTGGGATGCTCAGCTGCATAGCTTAAAATATATAAAGAACAGCTTTCTTGTGAAAGTAAAAGAAATAAGATCTTAACAATAAATATTAATCTCCAGTGATACTTAAGGGTCAAACATAGTACTTTCATAGAATCATAGAATCATAGAATCGTTAAGGTTGGAAAAGACCCTGAAGATCATCGAGTCCAAACGTTAACCCATCACTGCCAAGTCCACCACTAAACCATGCCCTCGAGCACCATGTCTACCCGTCTTTTAAATACCTCCAGGGATCGAGACTCAACCTCTTCCCTGAGCAACCTGTTCCAATGCCTGACTGCCCTTTCAGTGAAGAAGTTTTTCCTAATATCCAACCTAAAAAAAAAAAACCTCTCGTCCTATCGCTTGTTACTAGGGAGAAGAGACCGACCCCCACCTCACTACAGCCTCCTTTCAGGTAGTTCTAGAGAGCGATAAGGTCTCCCCTCAGCCTCCTCTTCTCCAGACTAAACAACCCCAGTTCCCTCCCTTACTTTCCTGAATTGTAATTCTGTAATCCTACGGACAGTTTTAGCATGAAGATGCCTTACTGTTCTGAAGCAGTAAAATAAAAAGAACCAAAGCTTTCTTTGTATATATATTTTTTAAAATATATATTATTGCTAAACTTTGCCTTTTTGGGACCCTGAATAATTTTTTGTGTTCTGGCAGTTTGGACAAGAGATGGAAATAAATCTTTCTTTCATGCAAGCACTTAAAAAAGTGTCCACCATTCATGTCACTTTTAATCGTCCAGATTCACAAATGGCAGACAGTCCTCATCCCCAGATTTAAGGTGAGTGTTGTGGTTTAACCCAGCAGGCAGCTAAACACCACACAGCCATTCACTCACTCCTCCCCAGTGCGATGGGAGAGAGAATCAGAAAAAAAAAAAGGGGGAAAAAAAAAAAGTAAAATTCATGGGTTGAGATAAAGACAGTTTAATAGGACAGAAAAGGAAGGAATAATAAAAATAATAATAAAAATGAAACAATATACAAAACAAGTGATGCACAATGCAATTTCTCACCACCTGCAGACCAATGCCCAACCAGTTCCCGAGCAGCGGTCGCCCCCGGCCAGCTCCCCCCAGTTTCTATACTGAGCATGACGCCATACGGTATGGCCTATACCTTTGGCCAGTCTGGGTCAGCTGTCCTGGCTGTGCTCCCTCCCAGATTCTCACCGGCAGAGCATGGGAAGCTGAAAAAGTCCTCAACTAGTGTAAGCACTACTTAGCAACAACTAAAACATCAGTGTGTTATCAACATTATTCTCATCCTAAATCCAAACCACAGCACTATACCAGCTACTAGGAAAAAAAAAATTAACTCTATCCCAGATGAAACCAGGACAGTGGGTTTCTTTGCTTCTGTGATCCAGAGTCTTCTATAAGAGTAAATAAGTGCCAAGGCCCTGGAGTAGATAACATATCCAAGAGGAACTTCAGCTCTACCATTTGAAAATACACAGTGGAAAATAAATTAAAATAGCTAAGAGGCTGTCTCAGTGTTTGAGACCTAATGTAAGCCAGAAAAATCCATTCTTTTGTATGTTGTTTGCCTATTCTGCTGGCTCAGTCTATCTCATTTTTGACAGAAGACACCTTCGAAGAATATAGAATCTCCATAAACTGCTACTTTTGTGTTTCAGTGTTGCTTAAATTAACTGAAAGCATGCATTCAGTAGTGATGTTGCATTTATCAATATGTACAGAATTAACCACTGCTTCTTAATACAAGTGTGCACCTAACTGGCCCTTTTTGAGCCCTCAGTTGGACAAATAGCTTCCACTGGTAGTTCTCTAGAATTAAGGAGCTTGTGGAACAAGTTAAAGTAATGCCAGACACAAATTGCTTTCACTGAAAGAGTCTGTATGATCGTTTTCTGAAAAGAAGGCATAAAGTAGCTGGAACAAGGATTTGCCTCAAAAAACACAAAAGATAAGCACTTGCATAGCTTTGGCTAATATCCTAAACTAAAGCTATTTAAAAGGTTTTTTTCTGACTGGCGTGGAAAATGAAGAGTAATATGGTTAAAATGGATCTCCAGATAATCAGTACCCTTACAGAAGTTATATGGAAGGTGAATGTTTCATTCTGTTTAAATCGAGTCATCCTGCTGTCATTAGAAATCTCAGGGGTTCAGTCTTGTGGAAGGATTTAAAGGCAACACTTCAGCAATAATCGGATTAGAAGGACTTGCATGGCTACATGGTCTAAAAAAGAGATAAAAGAAACCAAACTCACCACAAAGAAAGGCAGTGAGCTGTGTGGTGCAGAATCAACACACCGTTCTGAGACTTTGATTTTGACAATTAACTAAAGTAGGGATGCCTGCAGATTTCAATGGTTACTGGAAAATGGTCAGCAATGACAATTTTGAGGAGTATCTGAAAGCCCTGGGTAAGGTTCCCTTCATGTTTCTTTAATAAATAATCAGTAAATGCAACCTTAGTCTTTACATGAATCTGTTTTTTTCTTGTACAGTCATAAATCATTTTTGTGAGAAATATTTTTTTCAGAAATGCACTTTTAAGAATTGCCTTATGCAAAATTGTTTTGTCTTAAGCAGCCTCTACTTTTTACCATCTTGAAGCTTACATTAACAGAGATTAAACTACATAGCTTGAAGAGGTAAGTGGCAGATTCCAAACTTAAAAAAACAACCATAATTTAAAAAAGAGTAAATTTTTAATGTATAATAAAGAGACAATAATGTACGTAATGGAATTTTGTGTGTTTGCATTTGCTGTAAAGTGCTAGTATTTCTATAGAAATATATTGAAGCCTTTTTTAACTGTCAAATACAAATGGTATTTTTTAGGATTCCACATAATCAGAAAATCAAAACATTACCTTATTTAAGTTAAAAGAATTAGGTTATGGACTTTTTCCTGATGAGACAGCTGGCCTGAAAGATCGGGGCATTTATTTATCTTTGTTCATTTTAGTTCTCCCAAGAGCTACAAGCTTCTTTTTGTGGTAGACTTCTCTGGATTAAAATAATTCTTTTTCTTTTTCAGATGTAAATGTTGCTGTAAGAAAAATAGCAAACTTGCTAAAACCTGACAAAGAAATCCTTCAGAATGGGGATCATATGATCATTAAAACGCTAAGCACTTTTAGAAACTACATCATGGAATTTGATGTAGGAAAGGAGTTTGAGGAGGATTTAGCTGGGGTGGATGATCGCAAATGCATGGTAAGAATTAGAACTGTAACAACGGACAAAAAAAAAGAATACTAATAATCTGAGGCCTTTCGCAGACCACATCTGTTAACCATTTTCTGTGGCTATTCCTAAAGTTATCTGTACTTCTCAGTTTGCCGAGATGCACACAGTTTTTAGCGTGCCTTTACATTAAAGGAATACTAATTTTAATCAGGAGCACAAAACAATTTTATCAATGAATGAATAGTAACTTCAATGAACCGTTACTCAATTATACTGGGATATTTGTTAGTCAAAAAGACATTTAGGTTCAGACTTTCAGAATCTTCACTAAATAATGTTTTACAGTAAACGAAATCCAGTGATTGCAGGGTCAGGCACTAATGCCCATGTGTAAGAATGGGCAAGTGCTTAGAAATCGCAGCTTTTCTTGTTCTTGTTCCCGTGCTCCTTCCTTCCTGGGTGTATCTATTAGTGCAGACGCGTTAATTAGCCTACTGGAACAAATCTTATTGCAATCAATAAGCAAACACTGAGGACTCTGCCTTATGAGCTCTTTTTGCTTGCCAGAGAGACAGTATTTTCTGACTTACGACTGATAAATACCAATTAACAGGGGAAAAACTTGAGAATACCAAGTCCTTTCCTGTTAGTTTGAAAGCATGACACCTGCAATATCCTACAGTGAAGACGTTGATAAGCAAAAGGAAATTGTCTCAGGAGGGACTATAGAGGAGAAATCACATAAAAGAGAACTAATAGGTTTCCATTCTTAGAAAGATAGTGCCATTTAAAGCCAATACTATTCTCTAACACTAGGATGTGCAAGTTTGCTTTTGCTCTGGTGATGGCAGGAAAGGGAAAGATCATGAAGATCAGAAAAAAAGAATGGCTAGCTAGCGAGTGCCTCAACTAATCCTTCTGTACTCCTTGTTACAGAGGGTAGAAGCATGACAGAATGCAGAATACAAAATTCACCAAAAGGAGAAGCAATGTCTATTTGCGTATAGGAAAGTGCCCCGATGTCATAATGCATTTTTGACTGCTGGAAGGCTCTTAATCAGGATAATGAGCTCCACATCCACTGAACAGTTCTGAGCCCAAAGAAAGACTTAGACTTAGGTGGCTAACATATTGTCAAAGATAGCAATTTTCAAAACATCTGCTCAAATGCTAAAAATGTGTGAAGTCCTCAGTGTTTGAGTCAGTGAAGTACAGGTTTGTGTGTGTACAGAACTGTCTCTGTACTTAAATACCATTCAACTCCATATAAAGGAGAACTAAAACATCCTCTACATGGCGGAAAGAAGTAATTGTGCTCTGAGGCTGTGCTCTGAGACCTGCAATGAGTCCTTACAAAATGTGTGAGACAACCACTGTGCTGAAAAATCAGATTCAGAAGACATGGAAATGTGGCCCTTGCCTAGTCCTGCTTTTGAAATGCTGAATAGATTTAGCACACAACTCTTAATTTCCTGACAAATACCCTAAATATTTCATTATTTGTAACAGGCCAAAATTCTCTACCCTATTTTGCTAAATTGAGTGATGGAGAAGAATTGAAAACGTTGAACCAGAAAGAATTAGAGAAAGATTATTCTAGTCACTGCAACAGCTATTTGATTTGGAGTGGAACCTAGTTCACCC